GAACCCAGGAGTCCTGGCTCCCAGCCCCCTGCTCTAACCCCTAGCCCCCTCTCCCCTCCCAGAGCCAAGGAGAGAACCCAGGAGTCCTGGCTCCCAGCCCCCTGCTCTAACCCCTAGCCCCCTCTCCCCTCCCAGAGCCAAGGAGAGAACCCAGGAGTCCTGGCTCCCAGCCCCCTGCTCTAACCCCTAGACCCCACTCCCCTCCCAGGGCTGGAGAGAGAACCCAGGAGTCCTCACCCCTTTCAGCCAGGTGGAGAGATGGCACTGGGTCCTCTATACTGGATCCGATGGCTGCTCGCTCTGCCATGGATTTCAAGCTGCTCAGGGGCTCGGGCGCCTGGAAGTGACAGACAGGGTGGGTGGGTGGAAGTTCTGTAACTGTGCCCCCCATCCCCCACGCAGAGGGGGCAGGCTCACCTTGATTTCTGGCGTGGAGCTGAACTGGGGCGGGCCGTTGAGCAGCGGCTGGCTCGGCTTGGCCTCGGAGAAGGAAGGGGTCGGGGAGCTCGGGGTATTCACCGTCATGGGGACCAGGAGGCCAGAGCTGGCACTGGGGGGCGCGGGGACTCCGCTGGGCTCTTTCCTGGGGGAGAGGAGAGAGTGTCAGTGAATGGCCGGTGGGGTGCTGGGGGGCGCGGCCGCCAGGCGGGTACTCACGCAGCGCTGCTGGGTGGGTTGTGGGCCACCGGCTGGCTGGGGAGCGCTGGGCCGCTGCTGCCGAGAACGGAGTCAGACGTGCTGTCAGCCACCACGGAGCTGTAACCTGCGGGGGTGGAGATGCAGCTCAGGGTGTGGGGTGGGCAGGGTAGGAGAGCATCCCATGGTCTAAACCCCCTATGGCTGAGTCTGAAAAGTCCCAGGGAATCAGGCCAATGAGACATCTCCCTTCCCAACCAGGGTCAGAACCCAGGAATCCTGTTTCCCAACCCCTCCCCGTCAACCACTGGATCCCATCCCCCTGCCAGAACTGAGGACAGAACCCAGGAGTCCTGGCTCCCAGCCCCTGCTGTAACCACTACACCCCACTCCCCTGCCTGAGCTGGGGACAGAACCCAGGAGTCCTGGCTTCTCCCGCTCTAACCATTAGACCCCACTCTCGCCCTCCAGAGCTGGGCAATAGACCAGGGACCCGTTCTCTGAGCTGACCCGTGAACCGCGCCTCTCCCCCGCACTCACTGGTGGCCCCGTTCTGCTTGCTGGCGTTCTGCTGGGCGCTGGGAGGTCGGGGCTGCGAGGCGTTGGCACCGGGGGGCGGGGGCGCGACGGCCTGGGCGTAGGGGGTAGGGGTGCTGGGCGTGTGGCCGGCGGCCGGGATGGCCTTGGCCCCGGCGCCCCCGCTCCCGCTGCTGTTGGACACGGCTCCGTTGCTGCTGGAGCCCGGGCCGTTGCCCAGCGAGGACGAGGTGCTGGAGCTGCTGCCCAACTGGTAGCTGGGTGTGACGGCCGGCGAGGGCGGGGGGTGGTTGTTGTGGACGCTTTTCGAACCGTTCTTCGCGGGAGACTGTGGGGACAGATGGAGGATTAGTCCTGCTCCTTCCCCAGAGCCGTCAATGGAACCCAGGAGTCCTGGCTCCTGGACCCCCCTGCTCTAATCACTAGACTTCACTCCCCTCCCAGAGTTGTGGA